CTGGGAAGGTCCCAGGTTGAGGTCCAGCGGTGCACACTGAGCTGGGAAGGTCCCAGGTTGATGTCCCAGTGCACACTGAGCTGGGAAGTTGGCAAAGAGCTTGGCGAAGAGAGTTGGCAAAGAGCTTGGCGAAGAGTTGGCAAGGCGGAAGATGCAGACATGGTCGAGGAGAAACTAGAGGAGGAGGAGGAGGACGAGGACGAGGAGGAGGACAGCTAGCCGAGGAGGAGAACAACTCTGATAAAATCTAACAACCCTCACCTGGCAGGTGGGGAACAGTATCCCTCGGTACTTTGGTTTCTTTTTTTTATGGCTACCTCACCTTAGGTATTCTTGATCACTATTCTCCTGATCGGCCACTTGAACTTGGTTGAGCTCAAGGACGATTACACAATCCTTGAGTTTTACGCAGGCCAAAGGCGTGCCGCACGACTTGGAACACAACTTGGCCAGTCATGTGCTGCAATGGACATCCTCTACGATGCGGAGGGGAATAATAAAACAAGAAACAACAGCATGGACATCAATACTTCTGCAGGGTTCACGTTCCCCACATGAATTAATTATGTTGTTTCTTTTCGGAGTTGTCCATGTGAATACCCATCATATACTCGGATTTGGCATGGTTTTAGAAGACCCCAAACTACTTGGTCCACCTGTTTCCCCTTCCGCTCAGGTTAGCCTGCATCTTGGTCATGCAGTCCAAATGGGAAGATGTCCTGGCACTCTTTGGGATTTGCTGCTCAACATTTGTAGCTATCTCGAGGGGTAGCAGCCACCGAAGTGTTTTCTTACCACAAGGATGCCCTGTTTCATTGGCAAACTACCGGGCAAACAAGGGGACCTCAAGGCAAGGTGTGAATACAACAAGTTATAGGTGTGTTTAAATTTTAAGTTTATGGGATGGCTTCTAGTCAGTGTAAATCTGTGGCTTTGGGGTCCAAAACTGGGCAAGTAATAGTGAAATTGCCACCTCCAATACCTTTCCAATCCTTTCATCCTGGAGGTGCATGTTGATTGTCCTGCTTTGCATAGCCTGTGGAGGGGTACCAATCATTGAAAACCCTGGTTCCACATTGGTGCATCATCACCGAAGATTCCAGCACCTGGTGACCTTGCTCCGTGCCAAAGGTATCCGTTTGTTGGCAAAACTGCAAAACTGTGTTTTTTTTTACCCACCAAAGCTAGGATATAGTTGTTTCACATCATGAACGAGTAAAGGATTTCCTATGGGTTTAGATCATCAGTAGAACATCTTGGACAGATCCGGAAACACCCAGTTGTCCTGCCATTCGAGGTTTCTTTCGCCAATGTTTCTGGATGAAACACTTTGGCCACAAGTGCCTGAAACGGACGATTGTGTGGAGCACATCCAAGGCAATCAGGCTGTTGAACTTTGGCCCCATCAAGAAGAACACCCATAAATCTTTAGTCCCCACCACTCGCAAGTACAAAGATCGTGATGGGAAGACTCGATACACTGGAGCGGGGGCATCCCTGAAAAAAACGCAGTTTCTCAGCTAATAATCAGCTTACTGTACTTGAGATTATTTGAGATTGAATCATTTTGATTTACAGTTTTGGTTTCCGTCCTCGTCCTTCGAACTGGGGTCCCAGCGCTTGCCTGCTGAGGTTGTATCCACCTCGTTTCGTGGGCAAGATCTTGGAGCAGCAAAGGGTCTTCCATGAGGAGAAACCATCCCTGCCAGAGGCCTCTACCACTTGATCTACTTGTAATTGGAAAGGGTAGTATTTGAAGAAGAGGGTGTAACTGTTCTGCTTGAAGAGGGTCCAACTATCTTCTGTATTTAATTAACACTAAGTCACTGCTGGCAGGCCCCGGTGAGTGGCCATGTGGTACAGCTTCTGAGTGAGATGGAAATGGGCGACACATGGGATGATGCCGAAATGTTTTATATCTACCGGTATATCCGGGGATCAACGAAGTTGTGCCTACCTGAGGCGTACAAGAACTTGGTTTTTTTTGGCCCCAGCTGCTCGACATTTGCAAGCTGAAGGCATACAAATTCAAATGGGAACAATTTGTAATCTGCAGTGCTTCCAAAGATCAAAGATGGATTTCCCTCTTTACTTGGCACGGAAAAAGAGGCTAAGTCGCTTTTTGGGTAGGTCCAAACGGCTGAACTGTCACCTTGATTCTGTTTTTTTTCAGAAAAATGGTGTTTTTGGCAAAATTCATTCGGGCGTATTTTGGCGTATTTCGGGCGTAACATCCCGTAACTCGGGCGTAAATAACCGAACGCTCACCATGGATGATATTTTTTGATGAAATTTAAGTTTTTTTTGGCGCTGAGTTTGCAATTCAGAACCCTCAACTATTGAGAAATTTGGCTGCAAGAGAACCTTTTAAAGGCCATCTCATGAGTTTTATTAGCAAGGCCTGGTCATCAGAGACTTTGGGCCGCGGACTGAATTTGGTCCGCTCCACCTCCATGTCGTTGGCCAATGATCCTGATGCAGCTGAAATGATGGCTGAATTGGCCCGCCTTCAGGAGAACCGTTTGTTTCAAAGCCTTTTTGACCAAAGCCTATCATGTACTGAGTGTTATTGTAAAAGATATATCACCCCAAATATTACACCAATGCTCATCGATAACACGTTGAAAAATACCATTACATTGAAATTTCTTCAAAATAGCCTGCACATCGAGCAACCATAGAGCCCTACCATTGAGAAGGGAATGCTTTTCATGATTGGTTTGCCGTAGGAGTTGGAGAAGGAACTTGAAGCTTCAGCTGGGTGTCCATCAGGCTGGGTTGCCCTGGTGAGCTTTTTATCAGAAATGCCACGTTATCCATATCTTGGGATTCTTTTGCATCAACATTCTGACTTACGATGCTTTGTTAATACCTTGTTCGTACTGTGGAAATGTTCAACATTTTACAACTCAGATTTTAGCACCAGATTCATGAGGTTCCCAAGCGTAACCCCGTTCTCAAAATCCAATCCACAAGACCCAAAAAAAACATCACCGCTAGGTCGTGTGCCTGCAGCAGAAGTTGCCTCTGATCCTGCGCCGGTTGAGGCTGCAAATCCCGGGACGAATGGTGTGGATCTTCAAGACACCATTCCAGCTAGCTTGGAAGAGGTTGAGAAAAAACACCCCTCAATTTTTGCAGGGGAAACGACTAGTGAGAATGATGATGGTTCCAACAAAATTTCAGAACAAGAGCCTGGAGTTACAACCCATGGGCATGACCAAAAGGAGCCAGAGGTGGCATCTTCTGTGGACAAGACTCATGAGGCTGTTGACGTGCCACAGTCCCCATCCCCTCAAGACATGGATACTGACAAGAATATGCCATCCCAGCCAGAGACGCCACTGGCAAGCCCAGGGGACAAAGGTGTTCCCACACAGCCACAACAAAGGCACCGTGAGGGTCAGAAGCGGCCCTTTGACGAAGTTGAGGATGAATTCTTGACAGAATCAAAACCACCTCCTGAGTTGAGTAAAGCTGCTATCTGCAATCGTCTCCGCAGGGTGTTCTCACTGAGAAAGGATGGTAGCCGTCAAGTGGATGAACGTTGGGTTGAAGCATGGAATGACATCAATGGTGGCGGTCGGGATGATGTTCTACAAATGTTTGAAAAACTGGCATACGACCGGGACAGGGTGGAACTCAAATTATGATGGAACTTGTGTGGCAACACTTCATGGTTGTTCTTTTGGGGAAGCTGGAACTAAATTTCTGGGATAAGGATAGCCACTAAATAGTATTTCCTTGAATGATGTTATTTGGTGATTCTTGGTCCCAACAACTTAGAGTATGAAAAGCTAGCCAGGATTTTGATTCTAAGCACCCAGAACCTTACTTAAGACTTAAGGTTGCTCCACCAAACCAAAAATTACTTTACTTCGAGCGATCCCCACCATGAAATTTATACGTTTTAATATTGGCAAATCTTCTGACATTCTATCTGGCATATCTTCTGGCATATCTTCTGACATTCGATCTGGCATTCGATCTGGCATATCTTCTGGCACTCTACCTGGCATATCTTCTGGCATATGTTCTGGCATATCTTCTGGCATATCTTCTGACGTCCTATCTGGCATTCTATCTGGCAAATCTTCTGGCATTCTCTCTGGCAAGCATTCTGGCACTTTATCCGGCATACCTTCTGGCATTCTATCTGACATTCTATCTGGCATACCTTCTGGCATTCTATCTGGCATATCTTCTGGCATATGTTCTGGCATATCTTCTGGCATATCTTCTGGCATTCTATCTGGCATATCTTCTGGCATATGTTCTGGCATATATTCTCGCATATCTTCTGGCATTCTATCTGGGATTCTATTTGGCATATCTTCTGGCATATTATCTGGCAAATCTTCTGGCATTCTATCTGGCAAATCTTCTGGCATTCTATCTGGCCGTTGAGGTCCAGCGGTGCACACTGAGCTGGGAAGGTCCCAGGTTGAGGTCCAGCGGTGCACACTGAGCTGGGAAGGTCCCAGGTTGAGGCCCAGCGGTGCACACTGAGCTGGGAAGGTCCGAGGTTGAGGTCCAGCGGTGCACACTGAGCTGGGCAGGTCCCAGGTTGAGGTCCCAGTGCACACTGAGCTGGGAAGTGAAGAGTTGGCAAGGCGGAAGTGGAGGTGGAAGTTGATGCAGACATGGTCGAGGAGAAACTAGAGGAGGAGGAGGAGGACGAGGAGGAGGACAGCTAGCCGAGGAGGAGAACAACTCTGATAAAATCTAACAACCCTCACCTGGCAGGTGGGGAACAATGCCCCATGCAAAAGGAATGACAAACCATGGTGATTGTTTAGCTTTTTTCTGGCAAACCCCTGCACATTCCTGGAGGGGATTCTGTTTTAGCAAACTGGCTCAATAGTTTCTTTTCCCAAAAAAGTGATACTAAAAGCACTAAATCCCTGAAGGACCGTTTCATCAAGCGGTGCAGAAGCATCACCGAGCGAGTGAGCGAAGAAGTTTCAGAAGTTGAGGGGGAATGGCTTTCCATCGCAGACATGGAAAAACTTAACTTTTCTGAGTTCCTAGGTCGAAATTCATGTGATATATTTGATTCGTTTTGAGATTTGCAACAGAAAACATGATGAACAACTATGGCAAGTACTCATCCAATGGTTCTTGTTTCACTGCGCTTATGTAAGGACAAAGCAGAAAGGTGTGGTCCGATACTGCCAGAAAAGGCCTCATTTGCAGAGGCTGGTAACTGTTGGAAACCACTGCAGGGAAACAAATCCAACACAGTTGTTGTTATCACTACTCTGCTACTCTTCCATTTGCAGGATCCCCAACTTGGCTGCTTAATCCCTTGCCGTCAGGATGAGCAAGTATGGGGAAGGTATGCTATACTGGACTGAAGTTCATTCCCGGGGGCTCCTGAAGTGCCTTGTCATGACCTACCAAAACCCCGAAGAACATGTTGTGTCCAACACCGGAGTTATGACATGTTATAATGTTGGACTACATCTCATCCTTCATTTACTTGACGCCCAGGAAAACAAAACGACGCATCACGCAGGAAATGGAGGAATGGGATGAGGATGTTGAGGAGGGTGACAACCGTTCAGAGCCAGAGCTTGAGTGGGGGTTCATGGCTGACAAAACTGAGTCCAAACCAGGCCATTCCAACGTTGTTCTGTCAGCCATTACTCTTAAAAAAATAATGTGTTGTTTTTCTGCACCTTAGCCCATGCTACCCCTAAAGGTCCTCTCCATCCTGTTGACAGGTCTTTCGCTGAAAGATGTGGAGGACAAGGACCTGGAAGCGGTTCACGTGGAAACCGATGATGTGAAAAAGGAGATTCAAAGGTTGAACTACCCAGAGGTAGAGGGTGACCTAGCACCTAGTGCCATAGTTCCTAAGGCCTGCCAATCGATACAAAAGCAAGTGTCGAAGCTAGAGAGTTTGCTCGGCAACTTCCTGGGTGGCAAAGAGCTTTCCATGTTGCAGAACCGGATTCTAGTCTAAATCCAGGTTGGGAGGCAATGATTTTTGGAACCAAAAATATTAGATTCATGATGACTTAGAATTACAACTGCCTGGAATGAAGTTGAAACCAATCCTTTCTGGTGCCTCCCGTTTTCCCATCTTAGGATGACTGCTAAGCTGAAGTCTGCTGTGGAAGAGCTGTCGAAGCTCGATGAGATTCTGATTGACCAACATGGTCAGGGAGTGCTGGATGGCTTCGACTACAAGCTCCTAGATATTCTGGATGGAAGTTTGGGACAATAAGTTCCGAGAAGGTAAACACCCATTAAATAAATACATGTAAATTACATACATGTTTCCAACATAACCATGTGGCAATCCTGAATGCTAATGGGTAAAACGATGGTGTCAGTGAGGGAGGACTAACAATTTCCGACTTTGTGACTTTGTGGTTGGTTTTCGAATATATTTTTGCTGATCAGAGATTGGGGTTCCTTCCCTCTGGAGAACTCGGTGGCAGGGGCCCAATGCGCTGAAAGTGTGATGTCCTTCGGGTTTGGGTTCAAAGTTGACATCCCCAAAACAGTATTTAGAGCCCTGAATGATGTAACTCTTCAGTGATTCTTTTGGGAGCCATCTTCTTAGGGTCTATAGGTCTTTGTCACCAGTTCACCTCGTCAAATAGATAACTGGTACCTATTCTACTTCCCCGAATGCTTTTGTTGTGATGGTATGGTGTTTGGATTGTTTGGGGAATGTATTGAAAGTATTTGCTAGTATCCGGTCCCTCCATGTTTTGGGCTTGCATGCCCTACTTTAGTCCACCCCAAGAATGACTAAGAGGAATGGGTTTGATTGGATTTCCCTGCTCTCGCCATTAAACTGAGACGATTGACTTGTATTTGTTGAACACCAGAAACATGTTGATCATAGAGCCTTGTCAAACCAATGAACGCGCACTATTTTTGAAAAGACGTGGGTTTAACGGTTACCCCACATAATTATTATCACAGTTATAGTGTCTATCATAGAGCTGTAATATGCTGTAAATATATAGATAATTATAGCTAAGTTCAGCCCTCAAGCCATGAGGTTGCAGCAGGACATCAGCCAAAAATTAGCAGAAGGCAGGAGGAAGTTCCAGCCTTATGGTGCCAAAGATGTTGAAATACTGTCTTTGTGAGTTGCTTCATTCAGAAAAATCAAAAAAGGCAAACGAATAGAACAAGATCAGAAAGCTTTAAACAGTCTTAGGTTGGCAGAGTCGATGTCTGTCTACCACTTTGCCAAGTTCGGGGCTAAGCAGTTTCCAACAGTGACTTCCCAATGAAGCCCATGCCGCATCTTCTCGCCCCAGGTCGAGAGCCCCGGCGCCCGAGAAGAAGGTGAAGGAATCCAAGGAATCGCGTGAGCCTAAGCTTCCAGGCAAAGCCAAGGCGAAGGCAAAGGCGACCTCCTCAAATAAAAAAACCAGTTGATTGCCTTGTTGCTCGAAAACCAGCAACCAAATCTTTTGGGGCGAGTGATGGCCAGCTTGGTGCCTGTTCAAAGGATTTACTCGACAATGGTCCCTGGATACTTTATAATATTTTGATATTACACCAGCTGATTCCAATTTCATTTGACTTCTGTTTTGTTTCGGGGTATCTTGTGGTCACGCTTGCATTTCTGCAGATCTGGAGATCCAGGTCAGTACATTATCATAGATCGTGATAGATTGCAACTTCACACCGGAGAGTTGGATTGCCAATTTGATGGTTCTTTACATCTACTGGCACGTGCAAAGGGAAACGAAGATCAAAGTTCCCAACCATGGATGCATTGGAAAAAAATGATTTGCAGCCAGATTGTCCCAACACAATAGCGTTCATTGGAAAGGTTGTCAGAAATATTGGATTGGCCAGTCATTACTTTTAGCCTCCCATGCCAGGTTCAAGCGGTTCAACCACCACTGGCGATGAGTTTCTAGCTCATCTTGCTGAGACTCTGGGTGATGGAGTAGGGGCCTCATCTATCCTTTTTTGTTCCAGGAGGTAAAAAGAAAATTGATCAAAACAGACTCCATTGGGACTTGAATATCATTCAGAATCATTCATCTCTGTAAAGAATATATATCCCCCATCTTCTTAGCATGTCCTTGGCCTGTCCCACCATGCAGACTGCTCAGGCCACGGCTGAGAGCGCAGAAAGGTCGCTGAAGGCTTCGGCCGGTCAGCCCACCCATGCACCTGGTGCAACAAATGCATCCAGGAACATGCATGCAAAGTTCGCCAAACTGGGGTATTCTTTGCCCATTGAGATAGAGTGCACTGAGCATGTATGTACCTCTGAAGATGTGCAGACTTTGCAAAACTTTACTACGTATCATGTTAAGCCACGATCTTGGATACGGCACTGGATGACTCATGCCCCAGAACTTTTGGGTGGATGCTCTGGGCCCGCAAGTGACAACTTTGAAGCGTTTTGGCGAACCTATCAAGTACAACATCCGAACCATGTGGTTTTTGAGACCCATTCCCACCAGTTGGAAAAAGTAGTACCCCTTCTGCTTCATGGAGATGAAGGACGAACTGTTAAAAGGACGAACTACCTTGTAATGTCAATGGAGTCTCCATTGGGTTCAGTGAATGATCCCAACATCAGATGTGCATGTTCTGAAGAGATGGCTGGCCGGAAGGATTTGCCATCCTATGGGAATGATTTGGGAACCCTCTCTCCAAAGACTCTTGAAATTGCGAGGAAGCAGCTTACAAACTACAAAGGCCATTCGTACCTCTCAAAGTGGCTTCTTTTCGGGGTTGGTGGCTGGATTTACAAGAAACAACCACACATCATGGACGAGTTGCTTCAGATAGCTACAGCTGATCTCCAACAATTGTTTTACAATGGTGTTGAACTTTCAAATGGTGAAAGGGTTTTCGGTGCGGTCATCGGTGTGAAGGGAGACATGGCTTTTCATAAGCAAACAATGCGTTTGTTGAGATCTTACTACAACTGTGGCCAAAAGGTGAACATCCCACTTTGCCATCATTGTTTGGCTGGAAATGATCAATACAAATTTGAAGATTTTGGAGAAGATCCATCTTGGGTGGCAAGCATGTACATGGAACGGCCCTGGCCAGTGGATAACCCACCACCATTGTCAAACATACCGTATGACAACACTTGTCCAGAACAGGCGCTACAGGGTGACATCTTTCACATCCACAAGCTGGGGGCGGCCCGTGACGTCATTGGTGGCGTGCTGATCATTTTACTACGTCTGGGCTTCATGGACCATGAAGGCTCTACCAAAAACATGACTGACAGATTTACCAGAGCGCACAGCTATTTTGCAATGTGGTGCAGTAGCAATGGCAAGACACCTGGGCTTAGAAGCTTCAGCAAAGCCTATTTCAACCTCAAAACCCTCGTCTCTGCTCCATGGGTCAACGCGAAGGGCTCTGATTCGACGTTATTACTGGAGTGGCTTGACTTCACCTTGCGATTGAATTTGCAACACCCTTCTGTCGAGGGCCATACACAGTTATTGCGACACATGCTGCAGCTTGTTGAGTCGAGCTTGGCTGTGAGAATGGTCCATACTCACCGCCTCTGGTTAGAAAGAGATTGTGCAAGACGACTGTATGTGAAGCTTATGACTGTGCTCAGGGCCTACTCAGTCATGGCCCAAAGTGCCATGAGATTGAAAATACGTGCTTTTGTCTTAAAACCGAAGCACCACTCCCTGCACCACATAGCATGGTTTTTGAAGACAGAGCTGAGAAAAGGAGCGGCCCTAATCTACAATCCGCAGGGGTACGCATGTGAGATGAACGAGGATTTTGTAGGCCGCATCTCGCGGCTATCAAGGCGAGTGGGATTTCGTCTTTGTGACAAACGTGTTTTTGAAAGAGTGTTCTTGAAGGTCACGGCCTTATTAAGAAGGAGGAAAGAGCTGAGACAAAGCCGCTCCCGCTCTTCCCGTGTGAAGGGGAAATTTAGGAAGTGAACATCATGTCAAACATAAAGCCCCAGCACTTCTTAGATTTACTTCGGGGTGATCTCTATTGATAGCTACTCCAAACCTTAAAGATATTAAAGAACTAAATGTTTGTATCCCATGTCCATCTCCTTCCCACTGCCCTGGTGGCCGAGCCTTGTCAGCAACCGCCACGGATCGGAATGATCTAAAAAGAGAGAGGCCACTGCGTGGATGTCGGTGGATGAGGGTGTTAATCTATGGTGGCTATCAAACATGTGTTAAGTGGTATTAATCAGTGTTCAACAAGGTGGAAGTTGCATGTATAACATGTCAAGAATGTTATTATGATAGATTTGGTCAAAAATGGCAATGTCACCAAAAGGCGGAAATCTAGACTCAAGGCGTATTTCCCAGGCTCGGGCAGAAAAAACAGCCCAAACAGCAAGAGGCAGAAAATAAAGCCTGCGGAAGATTCAGGTATATATATATATATTGTCTATGTATAAATATCATGTATTTCATACATACGTGCTAATACATGAAACGGGATCACGATGGAATGACAATTAACGAAATGACTGAATGACCATGGAACGACCAAGCATTAAAAACGGAAATAGGCATGAATCTCTACAATTAAAGGTCAGCAAGGGCAGCATTGACGCTCGAACTACACACCATGTTGATTCACATAAAATAAAAATATAAAAACACCGTGAACGCCCAACGGATCAAAGGTCCTCCTCAAAAATCCTTTCGGCACCTCCTCTTTGTGTTCCTCCCACCATTGGTACACGGATGTCCTGGCACATCGCAGCACCGGAGCAGGATGCCATTTCTCATCGACTTGTTGCATGTAGACAGCCACGAGATTACCTACCCTCTGGAAATCAAGAAACCCCTCCGAAGTCACAATCTTTGACCGGTAAATCCTCTACACCATGGGGGCATTTTCCATTGTGAACACTGGATAACACTGGATAACACTGGAGGATGTTTGAGATATTTGAATAACACAGGCAGAAAACGCAACTGGAGAACTCCAAATCCACGGCATGGACCCATCAGGCCATCCTGGTGAAGTCATCACCCAGCAGTTCTCGCAATGTCTTTCGCAACTGGACAGAATCTTCCAGTGGCCAAAATTCCAAACCTGCTCTGCTACCATTCCACGAGAAAGTGACAAGTGAAAACGTGAGAAAGTGACTGTTGGGTGGAAGTAACAAGTACCCACCGATGCAGATTTAGCTGGCTTGTTCCGTGTCATTCAGATCGCCAGTAACATCATGGATGTGAGCTAAAATTTGGCTTCTATACGAATTTCTTGGTCAGTGCATGCCTACAAGCACCTGCCGCCTGCCCGTTCGTCTCAACCAAACCAGGCAGCCATTGATTTCCAAGCAAACTTCTTGCTGATCGCTGTCACCCTTTTGATGCGACAAGGTGAAGGAGGCCTTTCCGGCAAAATCACTGGATTGAGATCTAAGTATTGCAACAAAGGTGTCTGGTCTGATTTTTGATGATTCCATCAATGTTTCTGGGCACCGGTGGAGTGCTATTGCTATGTGCTTCAAGAACTTGAACAACTACTCTTGGAAGCTGTCGGAGGAGAAATTGACCGTGCAATGCCGGCACTGCCAAGAGACTGCTGGTTTTTGTGCTAAGTTCCATACGGCAGATAAGGTGATTGATAGCAATGGGCTATGGTCTTTCAATCATATATCGCAATTAATCATTCTGTAGCATCCAACACACCCACCTCTTGTATGAACAACAAAGAGTTGAAAATTCGAGCACGCACACCTCATCCTTCAGAAGGACGTCATAGACGATTCGAGAACCTGACAGCAACCCTTCCATCAACTGCCAGGAAAATTGAACTGCAAGTTGGCTGCTTTGTGATTGTGACCCCTGGAGAGATTCTGAAGTTTCCACAGTCCAAAATGCAGTGTTGCCAACGCAAACGAAAGATTGGACTGTCAGGCAAAAGGTCAAAGTATGTCAAAATCAGTTTAAATCACCTCTTGCAGCCTAGCTTCGAGTGGCAATGGTTGCTTGCACGGAATTTAGAAGTTGCACCTTGCCGCAAGTCCCATTTGTCGCAAGTTGTCGCATGGTCCAGCAATGTGCTGCAAGAATCTTTCAGTCAAGCATCAAGACATCTGCAACCATTTCATTGCATAAACACCACCTGCTGTGCTGTTGATTTTTTGTTATATATAATATGATATTATATATATATACACATTAATATGATTTAATATGTATTCCAATTATATCCCATTATGGTATCCATTGATATCCATTGTATTTTCCATTGTATCTTCCATTAATATCACCCCACCAGGGCCACCTGCAAAGTCACGGACGAAGGCTGATTCTCTATGATCCTCGGGTCATCAATCATCCCAGGTTGGCAAACCCTATCTTGATCCGTGCATATCCGTCCCATGTATCATGATGATATCATGATGTAAGTATGTATCATTGAATCATTGTGTTATATATATATATAACTATCTGGTAAAATAATGTAAAACCCTAAACCCAACATAAGCCATGGTGGAATCTGGAAGACATCCGGTTTGTCTTTGTATGTCTTTGTTTGGCCAGGTGAGCCGCCCATCTCCAGAACATCATTCAGGGTTCAGGATCCTGTAGAGATAAAAACATGAGAAACAGAAAAAACAAACAGCAGCCACAGATTATTCTGAAACGTGTCATTTCATGCCAATAAGTTGTTCAGAGGTCAGACTCTGACCACAATGTATTTCCTCAGAACACTTGCTTGACTTCCATAATTTACAGTACACTCTATCGATTCGCGCTGAAGCGTGGCAAACCTGACAAAAGAAGATAAGAGGTTTCCTGTTTGACCCAAGACTTCAAGCTCAGAGCAAGTATTCATGGGACATCATGGGACTATCCCAGTGCTCCAAGTGGCTGTGTTGCGACTTGCACGTCTGGGAGGTGTGCCTCCAAACCGCGAAGAAAACCTGGTGCACCGACGGTGTGCTCTTTACAAAATGATTCCGGGTAGCAAAACCAAGAAAACTATTTACAAAAATGATTCTGGGGCCTCTGCGTTAGGGAAGTTTCATGATTTTCCCAAATGGTAGGTACACCTGAGCAAGAGCTTCTAAGACTTGAGATTATCCCTTTCACATTTGCCCGCTACTTCGTGTAAGTTTCTCGGAACTTTCGCAAAAGTCTGACTATAAGCTATCTGAGCATACTCATTTTCACTCATGAATACAAATCATTAGTGTACTCATATATACTTCCTGGTAATCCAGGTTAATCCATTTTGAGATATATTGAGATCCTCATTCCAAGCCAGTTCCCCAGGCAAGCCATGGCAGCCATGGCCTTCGACAAAATCACAGGCTGTCAAGGCCACTTGGCTGCCCTCACGGCGGTCTTGTCATTGCATGGGATTCCGGAGAATTTTCATGGGATTTCACGGACGTGTCAAAAATTGCCCCAAGCTTTAGAGACTGTAGAGACTGTAGAGATCCATAAAGAATTTCAAAGAATCCAGAATCTAGAGAAACAATGAGAAACAGAAAGTTGTGGTAATTGCCAGTGTTTCTGACTGTTGTAAACCACCTGCGACTGTCTCAAACTAAGGAATTACATGGAATTACATATCTGCAAACAACCATAAGTTACAAGCATCAGGTCAGAGTTGTGAGTTCCGGTCACAGTTCGGCCCTCACACTGCAGTCCCCGCCTTCCAGTGCCACTTTCGGACCTCCGGCAGCGCTTCCTTCAACGAGGGATCCATCGCCAAGGCCCTGGCGCGGAAGCTTTGGAGCGACTCCTTCAGCGACCTGGGCGGAGCGACAAGGACCTGGGACCATGGTGATCTCTATGGGATCTGGGGCAGGAATTCGCTATGCGAATTAGATGGAATTGGCCAAAATATGCCAAAATGAAAGTTTGCTAAATGGTGCTAAATGATGTCAAATGTGAGTCTTGAAACTGATGCTGGGCATTGCTTGGTACTGCTAGTGTTTCTGTTCCGCGAAGCTGCTGCTTGGGTGCTTGGGACCAAAACCGTTTTAGGTGAAAGCCACTGTCTGAGAACATCTAAGACATCCTAAGACTATCCGTCACTGTTTTCCACCTACAGTAGGTGTCCGTGTTGACCGAAATTGAATTGTTGCATGAGAGATTCCGACTGTTACTGCACTTGAAAATTGCTTGCCTGGAGTCAACCGCATCCCTACATTTGATGAATTCGGCTTTGCTGCCAAAGTTGCTGTTGTCCATCTGTGTCTGACTTATAGCGGTACAGGATGCTTCAAGAGCCATGTTGGGGGGGAGTGTGCGTTGGATGGCCAACGAAAAAAGTGGAACGCTCGACGCCAAACAATGAATTGTATTGCTTGGCGATTCTTTGATGCCTTGATAAAAGAAGGAAGCAACTCTCCAATGATCGTGGCAATGACATTCATGGGCGCTTGAAAACTTGCACTAGAATATACAGTAATGTCGTACATCTTTGTGGTCCATACCATGTGTAACTGCATCGATCGAGAATTTCGCAGTCCAGCCAAAGCACATTGATGCGGTGCTGGCCGTGCTGGTAGTGCTTGCAGTGGCCTGACGGTTTCATGGCAGATGTGAGTTGAGGAGGTGAGGCCCGGTGATGGCTGGATGTCGTGAGACCGTTCGACCACCTTTTTTCTCCAAGGCCAAGTGCCCTGTAGATCTCAGCGTGCATCGGCGCTTGTCTTAAACGATCTGTACTACCTCTACCGCGTCACCATTCAAAGCTCCGCATTTGCCGCTAAACATAGGTCTCCCATCCACAGTGTAGATCTTGATGTTGTGAATGACGTACTGACACTGCGAATTCGGGTTGTTAAATGCTTTGCAGCCTGTCCACCCCCCGTCACCACCATGGCCGTTCCAAATGTCTGAAAGGAATGTGTAAGGAAAACTTTGGCCCCGGCCTTTGGTTGGGGAAACCCTGCTCATGAAGTCCTCGTAGAAGGCTGAATCACGACAATTGGTTCTTCCGAAGTCACAAATTTGGGTCCTAAGCGTTCCTCCAGCGACAAGACTGGCAGAGCTATCTATCATCATGATCATGTGCTTCGGACCACCTAGGTCGCTTGGGTTGCCAATCGGCATCTCATGGCCACCAGTGGCAAAGTTGGTGTAGAGCGAGCCAACTGGACAAGCTTCAACAAGGTCAACCTCTCCAGAAGTAGGTCCGGGCGAGTCCCAGGGCTGAGGCGATATCCAAAGAGGTGCAGCCCAAATAGATCCGCAACTCTTCACGTCAAAGTCAAACTCGATCCGCAGCACGCGCCGGAAATCCATGACGCAGCTGCTTGCAAGCCACGCAAAACATCCAATTCTGTTCGGAGCCGACGCTAAATCAACATAGAGAGAGGTGTAGTCAGGCTGGCCGTTGGAGTCGATGCACATGCTCCCGATGTCACCTCGAACTGGCATGTCACAGGACGGAAAGGTTCCAGCACCTGTCTCCCACAGCCAATTGGCATCTCCAACTCGCGTTGAAGCGCAGCCCACTTCCGCAAACGGAGTCAAAGTGAGATTCTGCGCAATCGCCGAGGAGATCAGGAACAGGAATGACCTCATTCTGAATTGACGGTGTGACAAACGCACCGATTAAGCAAAAAAGTCTTGAGCATCTTGAGCCAAATACGTTCCAAAATGGTTTCAAGCGCATGAAAATGTCAAGCATGTTCAACAGGCAATAAAGTAAGATCTAGTATGTTTGTATATTTTTGTATAAGTTGCATTGTGGCTATCAACTCAAGATGAACCAAACAACCCAAATCGTCACACCAACACCAAGTGCTGTCGCATTCCACCTGTTCGTCCGTCATAGGTCGTTCTGCGTACCTTGGCAGAGCGAGCAACCGACGAATTCCAGGCTGGCCCCAAACACCATTTCTCAGGCGAGGTCAGTATATTCTAAGTTTGGGCACATCCTAGGCTTGAGAGCAAAATCACTCTAATGGCCACAGTAATCCCACGAATTCTGTCTGCAGGCATGGCCGCCAAGTACTACAAATGCCAAGCAACATGACTCAAATGACATGCTGCAATTTTCACTGGGTGCTCTGTAATTTTAAAGGATTTGAATGGCGCAAAACCAACCAGAAGAAACATGAAGAAACATCTTAAAAGTCGCTGCATCTTGCTGCAACCTTTTCAGTCTCTACAAAGTCCCAGGTGCGGCAGCACATTCGCGATCTCGGAGTCAATGGTGGGCGAGCAGCACCACATGGCGTCTGCGATGGTCGACTTCTGCCGAGCGTCGCGGCGTCGCTGAAACTTCAAACAGCTTCGGGGAAGGCACCATGGTGTCAGCCTGGTGGCCAGGAAGCCCGGTCGTGGATTGCAGCAACAGAAGAACCATAAATAAACAGAATAAAGAGACGACATAATTTTAAAAAAAAAACATCTGATGATTTGCCGCGGATGGCCCAACATCTCTCGGCTTTACTCATTACTTTGTGCTGTGATGGCAAGATGAAGTAAAATGAAGATATTGAGTTGATTTGAGTTGTATTGATGTTGGTAATTGGTAAGTATATTGGTCCACTAATCATACATAAATACTGAGACTTCTCCGCATATCAAACTCCACCAGCCGCCCTCATGCCTCAGGTGAAGGAAGAGATCTGCGCCAGTGTGGAAAGAAAACAGATCCATATCCATAAATTCATCTGGATTAGCGGTTGGGATGCTATAATGATCTATAATGATCTATAATGTATAGTGCTGTTCACTTCTCATCAAACAAATCGTCATTTCATCATTTCGGCATCATTTTGGCATCATATTTGGGACCTCCTCCTCTGTTGACCATCTCCACCTGACCCTCCATATCCCATCACTATTCACCTCCCCAGAACTGCAGGCATCACTGTCCTCTTTGGCCTTGCAGCGTGACACTGCACCCTTTTGTATCAAAGGGGGATGTGCTTCATGCCTCCTGTCACTATGGTTCAGGTGGACCTACAGTATGAATGAGTGCATGATACATGTTATTATATACGTATATATCAACATACATGCAGTGTGCGTGTGTGGCAGGTCCGTATATGTTGTCTCAGAAGTATGTGTTGCCAAAACAATTTTGGGTTTTCTTTGTGGGGTACCGCTTCTTTGTGTCTCACAAGGGCAATCTAGTGGCACGACATCCAAGCTCTAAAACCAGTGGTGACGTGGCGATGATGACATTTTCAGAAGTGCTGAATCAAATTTAAAAAATGCTGGATACATCTGGATACTGCATTTTTTCATCTTGACTCATTTGACATGTGTTCATATTTGTTCATATTTGTTCGGCTATCGGGTGAACAATTGGAAGTTCGCTTCACAGCCCCAGTCCCACTCAGTCCCCAGCCTTTCCCGCCTCCAGTTCTCCGTGGCTGACCTCCCCAGAGGAGGCAGGCGGTCCAAATTCGCGAACTTCACCTGACAGAAGGGTGGAGTGGGTTCCAATGATGGCCAGCTAAGTTCTGTATATTTTTCTGTATAGTTAGTATAGTTATATTATGTTATATGATGTTATAATATGTTGTTATATTATAATTAATACACATCCATATTGCACACATATCCTACATCATCCTACATCTTCGGCTCACTGGCTCTGCTTGGAGTTGGTGATCTCATGTCATGACTCTAAATGCTGGTGACTCCAGCTAACTGTTCATGGCAACGACGGTTCTCACCGAATCTGCCAAGTGTATAGACTTGGTATCTTTATGTATCTTTATGTATCTTTAATATTATTTAATCTATTTTATACAAGGTCATCGGTCCTGACAGCGAAGGTGATACCAATGGTGTGTTGTATTGTGTTGTCTTTGCCAAGCATGCTGTACATTTGTACAGAGCGCCAACTGCTGTCAAGTGACTACACTTCGTCGACAAAAGTAAAGAGCCCTTGAGTTAAATGTCATCAAATCTCAGCAGCCTTTTGTGTTAATCGGAGATTGTCGGAGCATAGATGTACACTCACACCTACAAAATCTACAAAGAATCACCAGCATTCACTCGCCACGCCTTCTGAACCACTCAATTCGCCTGTCCAAATACGGGCACGACTTGCCATGCGGCCTAGATTTCTGCGTTGTTTTTCTGAATTCGTCCAAGTTCTGCAGAAGTGACGACTTCGTTGCTGTTGGTCAAACCAACGAATATAATCTCTGCGCAAACCGCACAAATGCCACAAATGCTATTTTCATGTGCCTGGTGCTTCTCTGTTCGACCTTGGTCCAATCCCAGAATTCGGTGAGAGTTCGGGGAGCGCATGGAAGCGCAGCCCCGTGCTGTTTGGGAACGGATAAAATTGGTCTCTTCGTGGTGGAAAATGGATACACATGGATACACTATGATTCTATGATTCTGTGATACACTGCTGGAAACCAATCCAATTGGTTCCACATTCAAGAGGCAAAAATCGCAAAATGACAAACATATGCACAGCGGGTACCACGTGCCACACCAAGCTCCAGACTGGACCTCTCCAAGTGATGATGCAGGCGGAGCACGGCGTGGCAAACTCAACGTGACCTGAATTGCGGAACCCGCTTGAAACTGGTTTGGCATGGCATATATGGCATGGCAGGTCTGTGAATATTGCCAGTCACAAGAAGTCTCTTGGGCCACTTCGGAGATTGTCAACTGACATAGCAGCTTGCATGTGCTTCAGGGGTCGCATCACTTCTTTACTAATCTCAATCTCTCTTGCTTCATGCATTGATTCAGTTCAATCTACAATGCAAAGTGCATGCATTCGGCAATCTCCAAATGTGAATTCCAAAGATCTACAACAAATCCTGAGTTTCAAGTCTCAAACTACGAGTACCGTTGTCTTTAAGTTGTCTTTGGACTTGTCCCAATCTCAGGTTCTTGAGGACTAGCGAAAATGAGGTCGACAACAAGATCACTACCGGTGCACACCTCGCCGGGTGAAGATCCGATCGTGCCGACGCACTCACCCGGGGAGGCCTGCCAAAGAAAACTGTCAACATTTGTTGATTTTGTTTCCAACATTTGTGGCGCGCCCCTCTTGGTATTTGTATTGCATATGGCTTTGATTCGTTGAACACACAGAAGTATTTGCGCAATGATCCGCAACAGAGCGACGAGATCTGAGCACCTGAACTCCGAATCTACGGCTGACCTTGGAGGATGCAGTGAAGGTTGCATGGAGCCCAAACCGGCTTCGTTGAGGTCAGTGTCAGCCATCAGAAATCACAATTTCTCTGTGTGTCCCCTATCAAATCATATCAATTGAGGCATCATGCATCCCAAATCTGCCAAATCCTCCCAAACCACCGAGCTCATGTTTCTTATGATGTCTCAGCTTGCATCGAGATCTCTGTGGCTGTCAGGCTCTCAGCGCTTTGTGCTGCAAGCAGTTCTGACTCTTTGGCCACAAGGGGTAAAAGGATACCTCAGCTTGCAGAGGCCAGGGCTGGTTTGATGACCTTTCATTGCCTATGAGCCTTCAAGAGTATCCAGATGCGATTTCTCTGGATTGGTCATTGAACGGAGATTGAGGTTGCTACAGCAAGCCGTGTTTGATTGGCATATTGGATGTCAACAATCGACAGCTAAGAAATGTATCGCCAGGACCTGAGGCTTGCAGCATTCGTATCCTCTTCATCCTCTACCAAGGTACACATGATTGGTATGGAGCAGGTTTGGAAGCACCTGAGATCCAAGATGACCAAAGCGCAGGTGGGTCCTCTACAATTATATTCTGGATGATCATGCGATCATGCATTGGCAGGCCAAACACAAGACAGGACACGCGGTGATGATAAAAGTCACGCCAAAGCCAGTGTGGTCCTTGGTGCAATGGGTGTAGTTAGGACCAGGTCAGAGATGTCTGCGGAACCACAGTCGTGATTGCGAGTCACGTTGCTGTGTGAAATGAGTGCCAAGGGTCAAGGATACCAAAACATCAACCAACATATTGCAACGTGTTGCGTGTTGTCCGAGAAACTGTCCTGCACAAATGGTCACCGACAAGAGCTATCTCCGAGCCGTACAAAGGTGGGTTGAAATAGAAAAAGAAGCCAGCTGAAGCCTTCCTGCTGGGCTAATCAGCCTGAATCTGGTTCTGCTCTTTGTCTTGCCGCTGTGTCTACTGTTCACATGCGAATGGAGGCCGTCCCAAACCTTACCCCCTTTAGATGCTCGCCAAGTTTCGATCAGCCAACCACCCACTGCAGCACTGCCCGACCATCCGACCACTGCTACGGAACTCAAGGCTTTCCAACGTCCGCGTGTTGCCTGGCGACATCTGGCGACGCCGCGACAAGAGATGTCCCGGTATTCCCGGTGACAGATCACCGCCATCCCATGCCTTGGGCGTGTAATCTGCAATGATGGAGCCCAGCAATGGAGTGCAGCTCCACCTGAAACCCCACTGGACATTCACCATTTATCATATATATATATAATACATAATAATACATATATATATAATACATATATATATACACATCACATATTCATACAGATCATACAGATAGGGATAGATAATGATAGATAGAGACCCTTTTTGGACCTCCAGAGCCACTGAACAATAGTTGGAAAACATGTTTCCAGACATTCCTCAGGTGGATCTGAAATGCAATGCTTTGACTCTTAAGAGACGGGAGATACATGGAGATACGAGTACCATAGTAATTGGTGCTTTGCACCGGGATGTACAGTTGAGTTGCGTCTTTGTCCACTTCAGGTGAAAAGAGGATGTCATTCTGGTCCCCAAGTGCACGATATTCATAGACCGTTCTGGGATGCTCATCTATGCCCATTTTTGCGTCTCAAGATGTCTCAAGCCTTAAGTTTGATCCACGCTAATCACTAATCACATACGGATCCACCCATTGGACAATTTGGACGGCAAGGTCTGCCAGGCATTGCCAGGCAACATACATATGCAGCGCGTCAAGAAGATTGGCAGCATCACAGCCTCGGTGGGATGGTTGAAGCAGCCTGGTGTGGATAATTTCTCTGGATCCATCATGATCCATCCTCCATTTTGAAACGTTTTTGAAACTGGATAATTTGGAGAGTACATACATGTACATACCCACATATACCGAAGGAACGCTTCATTCTGTTCCGAGTTCAAGTATGTCAACGTATATGTCAACGTGACTCTTTAGACTCTGCAGTCGAATGCATCCAGACACTGGGACGGTGTAGTAGGAACGTACAGTGCCCATCAGCATTGTGCAAGTGATGCCAGCGATGTAGCCACAAATGATGACCTTCACTGGCCAGTCTTCAGCATGTCATGGCCAACCGAAGGAAATGACCTATGGACCTGTCCATCTTGTCCTAGTGGAACACTGAGCCAAGCCACCGAAACAGCTTCAAACACCAGTACCAACCACGGTTGCACAATGTTCGAACATGTCAAACCGTATCACCCGAGACATCCCAGGCATCCAAAACTCGACTCCGACTCCACCTGTAGTCTGCCGAACTTTTTTGAGAGACGGTTTGCCAAAAGGTTTCCAAGCCCGGCAAAGAGATTCAAGGAGCCAAAGACCGCCTGCAGCAACCAATCCGGACCGAATCTCAAACACTTTTGATGGCCAATGTTATCCGAGGCTTAAGAGTGCTAGCAATGCCCGCCTGCAGTAGAACCGGCTTCAAATGGGTTTCTTCTTTGAAGAACACCGGGAAAAATTTCACCTTAGCAGTTTCGAATCAAATGAATGCCACTAAATCAAAATAATGATGAGGAGGGGGACGACAATGACGACGGTGACGATTATCATGATGATGGTGATTATCGTGATGATCACTATAATAATAATAAGGCTCGAGAGAGCTTCCAAGGCCTTTCGCAAATTGCTACTCAGTGACTGTCATGCCAGCACCAATCGTCAGAATCAATTGGTTGATGAACATCACCTGTTCAGCAAATCACAGCGGAAGATTCGCAAGGTGTCGAGTATGTGTCGAGTCGGATCTTTTTGGACTGGCCCACATTGCGGCATGTCATCAGTCACCGCCAAAAACAACAGGTAGCTTGTAAAGTTGGAGACGGAGTCAGGCAAGGCATCTCATCCAAAGAAAAAAAATATCTTCCCTCCACTGATTGGGATAGTTGGTCACCAGTTGGTCTACTTCTATTATCTTCTATTCACATAACATGGCCGCCTTTCCCTCTGACTTCACCATGGCATGGAAATCATGGCTCAAAAAACTCAAAATCAAACGGAGGTTCCTTGTTCATTGTTCGAGTTTTAGACTTAAGTGACTTGAATCTCCCAAAATTCAAACCCGACCAAATTCTACACCCTGGCGTCCTCACAACATCAGTCTATCTTGATCTATCTTGTCAAAAATTACACTCTTCGAGGAGTCCGGGGAGGGGAAAGTGGTTTCATCTGGTTTCTCAAAAGGAGTGGGTCCAAGTCGAAGCCACGTCAAAGTCGTCAAAGTTCCAAAATGACAGGGTCATTGGATTGGTTTAAGGGAAAATCTACAGGAAACCATGGTTTTTACCATCAAATATAGGGCTTTCCTGTAAATTTTCCCATCATCCAGTTCTATGACAGGGCACTATACAAACGCGTTGAACTGTCACCAATCCAAAGCAGGTGGATTGCTCCTCAAAGGCGGGCTGTATTCCGAAAGCGAGTTGAAAAAAGGGGGTAGACATCCACATTGTGCTTGCAATTTCCTGCAATATTCGGATAGTAATGGATAGTAATGGATAGTACATTTTGCACCCAGAATTCCAGCAGTCTTACTGAACAAGTTGGATCGAGCACCTCTCACAGTCATTTGAACCTTCCTGATTTCCACACTGTAAGAGGCAGTCAACACAGGACCCATGGATCTACTTGATTTTGATATCTTGCCAAGTGGCACTTCGCCACCTTTGGGATTCCAGCAAGTTCTTCTGCAAATGGACCTAAGCCGTGATTGCGTGGATGCTTGGGTGCTTGGGTGCTTGGTGACCAGCATCTTCACACCAGTCAACCAGTCAGAGCTGTAAGAAAGACATAGAAAGATATAGATCATATATAGTCAGAACGATCATCCAGTGAGTACTAAGAAATCTCAGCACTTGCAAACCCTCAAAATCCTATGCAGGGATCGTCTTCCACGATGCCAAGCTGGCACTGCAGCCGAAAGGCAGCCTCACTGGATTCCGCCAAGGCATATTTGTCGTGCATCAGCAGGCATGGAATAATCGCCAGCAAGGACCTTTGCAGTCAATGTCGAGGCGAGTGTCGTGTTTCTATTTTGAGATTGCCAAACATAGCAAATCTCTGTACGATCTGTACGGTGTAGTTGTACCACGGCATTTTTCACTCATCCCCATCCAACATCATCAAACTGTTTCTAACCAATCTGGACGCAGGGGTGGTGTATCATTATCATCATTTGGCAGCAAAAGTCAAGCCAAGCGTCAGAAAAATGCCCACGCAAATAACCTGTGCAATGTGGCGGTCCGGGATGGCTATCCACCTACCGCACCCACCATAGCTGGGTCGTGGTTTCAAGCAATCCCAAAAATAACTATGTCTCAATCGGGATCGTCATTGCAGGTATGGATGGAACAATATGGAACATATTTGCAACATTTTGCAACTACCAAGCAGATTGAGTTCGACCTATGTCGAGCTCATGTTCCATTCGCCAAAGGTACTACTTTCATCGAGAAAGTCGTCCAGGTGTTGCCAGTCGTGGCAAAAACGATGAGCCCCAAGAGGGGCCCCACTGAAGCAGCAACACCTGGATAGCAACCGCAACGCTTGGAACGCAATTTTGCGCATGTCTCTATATTGATCATCCTGAGAATTACAAAATCCTGGAGCAGTTCATAACTTGAAAGTGAATGGGGTTCAATGAAACTTTGACCCACTTGAGCAACGGGTTGTTCGATCTTTAATAAATTGTAGATTATATTTCTCACAGTCTGCCTTTGACAAACGATTCCTCGGTGGCTGCTCTTTGTTGCCGAAAGCAGACTTTTCTGTTTGTTGAAAGAAGCAATATATATATATATATCCTGAGGGAGATGCACAACCCTCAAAGCAAGAACAAGGATGCTCAAGTGGAACCGCCCGTCAAGAATGTCAAAGAGAGAAAGCAATCGAGACTGAATCGAGACTCTCAAGCTACTGCTGCTTGTAAGCCCTTAGTTCCCTTGGTGCTCTTAGTATCCCTTAGTGAGCCTTAGTTCCACTAACTTAGTGGTGTGTTTTGTTCTGAGTTCCATCAAGCTCGGCCTCGCCTCCCACCGAGGCATTCATGGACTCCACATCACTGCGGCGTCCTGCAGGGCATGAGTCATCCATCAAGGCGGCCAATGGACCATTGATGATGCCGTCGCAAATGCCCTGCCTGAGACGATCAGGTGCACAAAGTTGGCATGTCACATCAAGTCACATCATATGCCACATGGGTTTCCCATGGCTTCCCCAAGTGAGATCTCAAATTGAGATATTTGAGATATTTTGAGATTGTGTTGAAAGACGTGAAAGGCTGAGAGATGCAGTTGTCAGCACTCGGCAGACCGTGAGCTTTGCACAGGGCAAAATACACAAAACGAGACACATCCAGAGACCGCAGATACAACAGAAGTACACCCACTAGCGCAGCTTGCAGCCACATGCAGCCACGGGGCAATGCCAGGGCCAAACAGAGGAGAACAAAGGGCACAAAATCCTGTGATCGAAGTAATCGAACAAAAGGCATTAGGACCATTGGAACCGACCATTCAAACTCTGGAACTTCTGCAAGTCTGGGTAGATCTCGGTAGACTCCGGGTAGACGGGAACATGTTCCGACATTTCCATGCGACGGCAACTGAAATCAATCGGCCAACATAATCTTGGTTTTCTGAAAATGAGGATGACTTTGGTCCCTTGTAGAGCTACAGTATTCAGTGTCAAGACTCAGTATACTCAAGCGTTCTTCTGGGTGCAATCGCTAGCCTATATTTGCTGTCATGGAAAATGGGTCTGTGGACCAATAATTCAAACAAAACCAACCATAGCTTCTGGAAAAAGGGGGGGACCCATCTTCTTTATCTTCTTTTGGATCAGCCCAATCAGTCCTCATCTCGGTCGGTGACGTCTGAAAAATATTCTTAAAATGACCATTGCAATATTAGGAGCAATATATATCTCTATATATATATATTTCTCAATGCATAGCACCCAACTAATAGTCATGTTTTTGGAATATTCCCCAATGTTGTTATCATTCAATCATTCTATCGCTATTATGCCTTGTTCATCATTGTCTCAGATATTCCCCCAATGTCGTTAGATCAGCCGCAACCACATCAGCTGCATCCCAGCCTTTGGCTTGGCAATGATCACTGCCAGCAGCAAACAGCCAGCTGAGAGGAACGTGAGACATGTGCCCATCCTGCGAAGTCAGACGTCGCTTCGAAAATGGTTTGTATTTGTTTAACAATAAGACGTTGAATTGAATAATATTGAAATCATATTGAATATGGATGAATATGGTGTGTAACTACTGATTAGAAACACATGATATTTTAAGATTCCTGATTCAAGACCAAAGCATGGAGGATGATGGAAAAATGCATGAAAAGACTGAAAAGACTTAGAAATTCATGATTCTTCTATTCTTTCTGGCTTTAAAACTGCACTGGAACTCAGCTACAAACCCAACCGCTGCGCACGTCCAGTCCTGATACAAGCTCTTCGTGACCATTTGTCTGCCTCGAAGGATCGATTCCGGGTTTGGTGCGACTGCCATCCAAAAAAGGCATGGTTTGTCTTGTCCAGTCGCCATACTCCCCCAAGACAGGTCCGATTTACATCGATTTACGCCATCTGCTGAAGAAGGATAAGAAGGGTGGGAATTCAGTGCATTGGTTCAAAAATGGATGGTATACTTCACCCGGGGTCCACATTTGCGGCTATCCGTACATCTTTAGCTGAAGGAATGTGCATCCCAGCTGCAATGTAGCCCGCAGGCATGGCACTGAGGAGATTCGCAAGGCCCTGCAAGCCTTCCGCGAAGCCCACATCAAAATTGTTTCCACCAACCTCAGGTGACTTGTGCTCCAACATGATCAACACGTGGGTTCGTTTTTATTTGTTTCATTGTCGTTTCTCCAGTTCGCATTTCAAGGAGCAGAAAACCATGTTTGTTGGGAGGTTGGAGAGCTGAATCTGCATCCGTCTCATTAATAGCCGTCGTCCTCCTGCTGTAATCGTTGAATATTTTGGATGCTATTTCAAGTCCTTTCCAGAAAAAAAAAACAAACTGAAATCCCGCAAACAGCATCAACAACTTATATATCTGTCAAACTGGCACCCGAAGCCAACTCAGCATCATTCAACTGCTGCTCAGGAACCAACAGGATGAAAGATGGCAACCTCAGAAACAAAATTCCGGGATGCAACGCGTTGATGATTGTGGCAACTCTCGATGCTAGGGTGTTTATCCTCCCCCCAACAAAAGAGAAACCACTTCCCAACTACGGTACGCCGCTTTATGATTTGTGACAGCACTTGATGACTGATGTATACCTGTGTGTAATACAATAGAATGTAATACTGTATTAATATAACAAAATATAATATAAAGTAATATAATACAACAAAATGAAATATAATATAACATAACATAACAAAATATATTATAAAATATCAAAATATACCATAATATACTATAATATACTATAATATACTATACTATACTATACTATAATATAATATAATATAAATAATATAATATATTATAAAATAATATAATAAAATATAATATAATATAATAATATAATATATATAATATAATATAATATATTATAGTATAATATAATATAATATAATGTAATGTAATAAAATATATAATATAATATAATATAATATAATATAGTATAATATAATATAATATAGTATAATATAATATAATATATAATATAATATAATATAATATAATATATTTAATATAATATAATATAATATAAATATAATATAAATATAATATAATATAATATAAATATAATATGATATAATATACATATAATATTATATATATATTATAATATAATATAGTATAATATAATATAATAAATTATAATATGAATTTTAATATAAGTTATAATATAAATTATAATATAAATTGTAATATAATATAATGTGAATTATAATATATTATAATATGTTATAATATTAGAATATTTTAATATATTATAATAATATATTAAAATATATTATAATAATATATTAAAATATATTATAATAATATATTATAATAATATATTAAAATATATTATAATAAATTATAGTAGAACAAAACAAAACAAAATAAAAATATAACATAATGTAATGCAATACAATGTAATGTAATTTTATATAGTGTAATGTAATATAATGCAATATAATGTAATGTAATTTAATATAATATAATATATATATGTATATAATATTACTATGACGTTACGTATATTAATTGGTTCTATATGTGTAGCGTGTATGTAATGTATGTGTGCCTCTTGTCACGCAAGCAAATGCACTTTAGCGGGTTTCTCATAGCCCAAACTGGCTAAATCCGCCATGCTTGACAGGTGCTGACATGGCTTTGCCGAGTGGCACGGTCATCATGTATAGGCCTGCTCCCATACGGTAGAAGGCTGTTGCAACAATACCGCAGATCCTGGACATGGTTCGCTGTCAGCATACCAGTGGTAGAGAGACATTCTCACGTTTCCCTTGAGGCACGTAACAAATGAATTGGCAACTTTTGATGGATGGTTTGAGCTATCACCTAGGGTGTGGCTTCGGGAAGTCCATGGAGGCATACTTTGCTTCGTCATATCACAAATAACGAGTATTGAATCATATTGGTTTAGTTTAATCATACTTTATATCTAATTCCAGTATGTGACCGAACAAAGCTGAACTGCATTGGGAAAGAGTTCGTTGTCTCTCAAACATTAATTACTGGAAATACCATGGGATACCATGGAATGCTTGGCGGTCGTATTAAGTCACCCTGTCTGTAAAAAGTCACCTCCTGCATGGGCACACCGGATTGGGAATAAGTAACCACCATTTTTTAAAAGTCACCCCTGACATATGAAATCTGGCTGGGTATGAAATCTGGCTGGGCGCACCATGTACGTAGACAGTCGATGAGAAACATGTTTTGCAACAATTGACAGGGCACACGCAGTTGAAATGCATATGTCCTTTGATGTGAACACGTGTTTGAGCTAAGAAACACCATGAGCGCACCATCAAAAGCTACTCATACAAAACGGTTTAACAGCATGTGTTTATTTTGGTACAAACGCGGTATGGGTAAAGCATGGTCCTATTGCAAGGCGGAGCTACGTCCATTTCCTAGCGATTTGTTTCCATGAATGACCCAGAATGCGGATGCAATGCGATCGATGCTCACTTGCACACCATCAGTAGATGGTTGTTTTCTTTGTTAGATGGTTTTCTTTGTAGGGACACAATTTAAGCTAACAAGCGCCATGGATCCCCACAGTGCCCTGCACGAGGCCGGCGGCCCACGTGACTTCCCACCTGAACAACGGTTTTCCTTCCTTTCACTTCCTTCCATTCTCTTCCCTTCCCTTCCCTTTCATTTCCTTTCCTTTTCTTTCCTTACTTACCTTACTTTTCCTTTCCTTCCGTTCCTTCCTTTCATTCCTGTCTTCTCCATTCTGCATTCCTGCCTTTCTGCCTTCCTGACCCTCGATGACATCTGAGCCAAACAAGCCAAGCAGCATGAGAATCCCAATGTTAGCAAGGCAAAACTTCCAATGGTGCATGTCACATCATGTCACAAATATGAAGAAAAACTTGGCGCACACCACGAAAAAAGAAAGGTCGTCTAAGGATGTCTAAGGTCACATCTTGTGACCAAGCATTTCACAATGCAAGCCCACATGGTGCCGCATGGGCACAGCACAAAAGGATGACTTTTTCCGAGGAGGGACGACTTAACCCAGAGACCCAGTACCATGGAATACCATCCCGTCCCAGGTCGTTCGCGCCAAGGATCACATTGTGCGTCCACGGACTGCGACGTGCCACTGGTGTCACCGCAGCTGTCATGGCACCCGACTTGCGAAACCAATCTGGTTTGACTGAGCAGTCCCCAGGTCTGTTTCACTATCTTTCACCCCTGTTCAGTGGATGGCTGGTAAAGGATATGGTTGGGGATCTGTTTATGTTTGAGTATGCAGCTGAACCATTCACTGCAATACTAGTTTGATCTAGCTTGTAACATGGATCCGATTTCTTATCATGTGCGTGTATGAATAGCACAGCCCTGTATAGTACGATGATGTTTCTCAGGTACTATAGCTCCTGCTGCGTAACTTGACTCGGACACTTCCTTGGTCCAAAAATGACTTGAACTTGTTGACGTCGCTAGGCATACAGTAAGATTTATAGACTCATTCACCACTACCAGGTCATTGTTTCAAATCAGGAGGTGAGAAGCTCAATCAGAATCATGCTACTGCTAATGTTTAAACCATCCATGTATAGGAAGTTTCTTGAGCAACATCTACCGCAGCTGAAAGGGTCTGTCTTCGGTTCGTGCCCCAGAGGATACATAAATTTCACGTTTGAAACCCCCTCTGAGGCAAAAGCTGAGGATGTTGAGGAAACAGCCTTGGCAGCATCGGCTGTGCCAACTTGAGATCTGACTGATCTGACTGCTGTCAATGTAGGGCCGCAACGCCAATATGCTGGACATGTTTCACGAAGGTTCTATGATCCGTTTCTTCACACATCCCTTCCAGCTCACATCCTGGAGTGCCGCATTGCAACAATTACATGATCATACTGTCATACTTGCACACAGGTTTGTAGCCATTTAATGGGGGTAATGAGGATTGACCAATGGATTTGGGGGTACCCGTTTTCAAGACTAACCTATACGATATTATAAATTATATACTGCAGTGTAGTGTTTGTAAAGTGTTTGTAAGTTTTTATATGTTGCCTCATTAGTCAGCCCCGCCACAATGTAGTTGGTGAGTCATCCACATCAGGCCCCCACCGGCGATGACGTCACAATTTTCTCCTTGCAACGGGAAGAATAGTGATGTCATACATTTCTAAGGGATTCTACGGGTGTTTAGTGACTTCATCATGGCAGGCTTAGATTTGCGTTGTCCCACGAAGCTTTACGGTCTTCCAACTAGACTCAAACACAAATCATCCTTTGACTACTTGGCGCCTAAAATCAGGCCGTCAGGTTCAGGTCATCCGCAAGAGTGGATTCATCACAAATCACGAGTCGGTATTGCCCAAATGATGAAACCAGCCGAAAGCAGTGACCCACCCCCTGCAAATGCCGCATCCAGTAGCACCGGTAGCCGTGATAAACCCTGCACCAGTCAGTCCGTGCAGTTTCAGTAAGCTACTAGGGCTAACGTGGGGTGCCCACGGTTGCCATGCATGACATTAGCCATTGTTAAGACCGTGGTTCTGAAGTTTTGTCACCATGGGGATCTAAAGCTTGAAAGATTCTTGCCCAGCTCCTTGCTCTCACGCTTCATGGAATCACGAAGTGACAAGGCCAGCAATGCCTTGCGATCGAATGTGGTAAGAAGCTGCGGACAATTCGCAACAGGGATTCCATTACAGTCATTACAGTGACTGAACAAAGCATAGAAAGTTAACATTCACGATATCAATCGATATCAGATATTTCGTAGTTCTATCCGAGTTCTACCGGGTATGGCTATTCGCGCTGATCTGCTGGAGCACCTCTGCATGAGTGTTTCGCATCGTGACTCGAGGTTCCGTTGGAGAAGTGGATGCACCTTTCAAGTGCGAGTGACGAACAACACATCAAACATCATCAAACTATATACATAAAGAAATACAAATGTCAATGTCTTCTCTGCATTTGGGTCATCTTGGAACTACGGCATTTTAAAATTTATGATATCTATCTCGTGAATCTAAATATATCTAAATCTAAACAGCTCACATGGCAGAACCTGGTGGTCCGTGCAGCAAGTAGTGGGTGAAGCGGGCCACGCGGGCCTCCAAGAGTGTCTGTGTGCAGCTCCGAAGAGCAAAACAAAAAGGTACTGATATGGTGATGATGTATGTAACTGTATGTACTAGCAATGTATGTAGTGGAACCTGTAGATTTTTTTAATGGTAGTCTATCATCTTGTATTCCAGTTCGACCAAAGTTGAATCAGTGTCAGTCAATTCTACGTGTGCCTTACGGATCCTTAAGGTCGCTGTTCCTCTTCACTTCCTTTTCACTTCCCAATGCCTGCGAATTTAAAACTACTTTAAGCCTGCAAATGTCAGCAGGTTTGCTTTGTCCTCTACTCTCTGCTGTCCGGAGCCAATACCACGAATCTTTTCGCCATCCCCAATGGGTGCCATAGAGATGCTGAATCACTTAGGATTCAAATCTGTGGTGAGACATGGTGAGACAGTGCATGGACAGAGCATATTCAGTGCAACGTGGGGCCAATAGAAAATAGCCCTTCCGCGACTCCCTTGTGCGAATGCGATGGCAACCTGGCCGGAGTAGACAACTGTAGAGGGGCCAGGATGACCTTAGGACCTTGGATGAAGGAGGCAACACCGACAACGCCAGATCCCCACCTACAAATAGTCTACTTCTTTGCAGTGTGTAGAGATATCTAGAGGATTTGTGATCAGCTCATTCAAATCAGTGAGGCAAATCCAAGTTTGTTGGTTGCTTGCCCTCAAGCGAACAGTACAGGAATCTTCATCCTCATCCATCACTCTCAATTTTCCGACTGCGTTGAATGCCTGACAGTTCCAGCGCATTGACTATAGACATTGCAGCTGTGGCTGTCACATCGGACCATGATCTTGCATTGCGGTGGATGTGCTTCTTTAAGTTGAAACTCTCACGAGTGGCACTCTCGATTTCATTACCATGCAAGAATTTCCATCTGTTTTCATTCTGTAGGTGATCATCATGCGATTCTATCAGAGGGCTTTGCGGACATGCACAATGCCTAGGCATCAAGGCAGCGATTTGGCAAGGCTAGTCATGTCACACCTGTGTATGAACAGTACTTGACTATCTTCCATGCCTGCGCTGGTGCAGCAAAGATCCGCAAAGTCTTATTTAGGACTCATCCATCTGTTATTTTCTCGACATCTGTAGACCCAGGCAAGTTCGATTGACGGAACCTCTTGTTCAACCAATCGGAAACGCTATAACCAGTCAACAAAGTCAACAAAGTCAAGAAACCCGATTGATGGCACAGCGTTGTGTAAGTGGGGATCCAGCAGCAGCAAACGTGTTGGGCAAAGCGCACTGACGTCAGCTTGAACCCGCACTGACGCACCACGGGGAATCACTTCTAAATTCTAATTGTGTCGTCTCAAGCATACAGCTGGATCACAAATGTTCACATTTCTCAGCTATCTCGCTACGTGGTCTTCTATAACGCCCACCCGCACTAAAGGTGTACAAGGTATCTCATTCTGAAACAAGACTTACATGATAAATAACTAATGCAATGTATGCATATACATATATACATAGTACACATATACACATACAAATGTTATTTACATTATACATACATATCTCTATCTATTTACTTATCTACTCTAATCCAATCTATGATCTATTATCTATTCTCATCATGTTTTATCAATTTTTCTCTATTCTTATCTATGCATGTCTGTTATTCTCTCTTCTCATCTAGTCTTATCTATTGGTATCTGGTCTTATCTATTCTTATCTATTCTTATCTATTCTTATCTGTTCTTATCTATTCTTATCCAGCCTTATCTGATCTTATCCAGCCTTATCTATTCTCATCCAACCTTATCTATTCTTATCTATGCTTATCTATGCTTATCTATTCTTATCTATTCTTATCTATTCTTATCTATTCTTATCTATTCTTATCCATTGCTATCGATTCTTATCTATCCTTCACTATCCTTATCCATTCTTATCCATTCTTATCCATTCTAACCCATTCTTATCCATTCTTATCCATGCTACTCATTCTTATCCATTCTTATCCATTCTTATCCATTCTTATCCATTCTTCTCTATTCTTCTCTATTCTTATCTATTTGTATCTATTCTTATCTATTCGTATCTAATTGTATCTAATCGTATCTATTCTTATCTATCCTTATCTATCCTGATCTTTCCTGATCTATCCTATCCGTATCTCTATCCTTCTCTCTATCCTCATCTCTATCCTTGTATCTATCCTTATATCCATCCTTACATCTATCCTTATCTCTATCCTTGTATCTATCCTTATATCTACCCTTATCATCCCTTATCTCTATCCTTATCTCGATCCTTATCTCTTTCCTTATCTCTATCCTTATATCTATCCTTGTCTCTATCCTTATATCTATCCTTAAATCTATCCTTATCTATCTGTCTATCTATCTATCTACCTATCTATCAACCTATCTATCCATCTATCTACTCTACTCTACTCAAGTAAACTCAATTCAATCTAATCTAATCTAATCTGATCTGATCTAATCTAATCTAATCTAATCTATCTATCTATCTATCTATCTATCCTATCCATCCTATCCTATCCTATCTATCCTATCCTATCTATCCTATCCTATCCTATCTATCTATTTATCTATCAATCTATCTATCCTATCTATGCTATCCATCCTATTCATCCTTTCCATCCTTTCCATCCTTTCCATCCTATCCATCCTATCCATCCTATCCATCCTATCCATCCTATCCATCCTATCCATCCTATCCATCCTATCCATCCTATCCATCCTATCCATCCTATCCATCTTATCCATCCTATCCATCCTATCCATCCTATCCATCCTATCCATCCTATCCATCCTATCCATCCTATCCATCCTATCCATCCTATCCATCCTATCCATCCTATCCATCCTATCCATCCTATCCATCCTATCCATCCTATCCATCCTATCCATCCTATCCATCCTATCCATCCTATCCATCCTATCCATCCTATCCATCCTATCCATCCCATCCTATCCATCCTATCCATCCTATCCATCCTATCCATCCTATCCATCCTATCGTATCCTATCCTATCTTATCCTCTTATCCTATC